TAACTCAATTCTGACGTTCTGCTTCTCATGTTTACTTTTACTCCCTTTCATTCTCAATTTATTTTATTTATGTTCTGATAATTTGCTTCTTCCTTTCAACCCTACAAAGATAAACCTCGAAAATGTGACATTTTAATCCCATGCCCTATCTTAATTTTCTTCTTCCTTGCTGATTCCTTTCTGGTTACTTGNAAGTCTCGTGTGCCAGTGACAAAAATGCATGGAAACTGCAGAATAAGTCGCTTCAGATTTTTTTGTACTCCTCGCGTAATATTTTAAAATGCTAAATCAAGAATGATGAGGGGAAGACACATTAGCACGCAGGTGAAAACAGAAGTGGCTGCAAAATATTGATTCAATAACTTCAAAAGAAAAGATGGCTTTCAAGATCTAAAAGCAGAGGTGAGGATGATATTAAAAAAAAGACTTTAGAGGACTATGGTGTGAAGGCGTGTTGGGTCAGGATAGGACATAAAACAGGCTTTTGTGATCACGTATTTAAGCATCCTGCCATTTAGGGCGGAAACATGTTGTATCGAAAGTGAAAGTGTAAGAAATAAGGAACAATTTGTTGCATTGTTGACGGACTGTATAGTACAATAAACAGTATTAGATTTTGTGATCACGTTGCGTAATGTAATTTCTTGATTAGTTCGGTGAATATTCTGCTTTTAAAGACTTTCTACCATGGGTACGATATTGAGATGTTTAGTTAGCCCCGTTATGTGTGCCCCCTGCTGCCACAAAATGGCGCGTCCTCTGGTTGGAAATGAAGAAAATCGCCTTCAGATACGGACAGCCAATAAAGGAAGGCTTTGGATTTGAGAGTAGAATTCAGTGCCCTTTACCACAAAATATTCTATGTTCAGAAACGTCTGCAAAGGTCTCACAATTGGACGGTACCATTGGAGCGGGTCGCGGCGGAACAGATGCGGCTTTTGAAGGTCGTGGGATTTGGTACTTACACTGTAGGGGGTTTATATATATATCTATACTAAATTTTTGGCGAAGAAACCTTTCGTCAAAATCGGAGCTCAAGCTCGTGCAAAACATAATATTTGGGTTCTGCTATCACATTTTTTAATCACAAAATTCTTTTTTTATTGCTAGTGGGGTGGGACTAAGTCCCTTGTACTGCGGCCATTTCTGGCCTGTTGTACCAGCCCCAGATGATAGGTGAGGGTGATTGTGGAGCAATTGGTGGAATGAAGATTGGCAGGGGAATCCGAAGTACTCGGAGAAAACCTGCCCCAGCGCCACTTAGTCCACCACAAATCCCACTTGACCGGACCCCTGGATCGAACCCGGGCCTCCGCGGTGGGAAGCCAGCGACTAACCGCTTGAGCTATGGCGCAGCCCACATAGTTCTCAATAGATTCTAAATGGTCCCGATGATGACGTGTAAGAGTCAGAATTACTGGGTTATGGAACTCCACCTCCCATATTCTACAAACTAGGAAACGTTTTCGCCTTCAGATGAGGGGGGAGACACCTACTCGGTTGGGTCTCTTACAAAGAGCTAACCTCAATCACTGGACCAGTGAAGGGGGAGACACTTACTCTGTTGGGTCCCTTAGAAATAGTTAACCTCAGGTTTCGAAGAATGCCGTCTTTTGGGCTGTGGCGCCGTGTAGATTGTCTGTTCACAAAAAATCTACACGGCGCCACATCCCAAAAGACGGCACTCGTCATGGTCACCGCCGTGAAAATCTAAAATCTTACAACCTCGTGTTGTGTTCTCTAGTTTTTAGAATAAGAGACGATGGACAGAATCCAAAATCTCAGCAAATCTGAGACATATTTACTAGTTTAATGTTTCTTGATATTTAGTTTTCATTTCATCAGTATCTGTGGATACGGGTATTTCAGTCACTCTGTCCACAACCTAAAAACCAGACGAAAGAAGATACTAACATTGTAGCTCCTTTTTCATTAATAATAGTAATGGGCGGCAGTGTGTTTCAATTACGTGCTATGTCGAAATTACTATTTCGGCATAATCAACATAAGGTTTCCCATCTCCCCTGAATTCCCCTTTATACCCACCCTAAAAGTTCGGCCACACAGAGCGCTACGTACGCGACGCACGCTACATACGCTATGTTCCCTATGTTAGCTGCGTCGCAGAGTGTACTGATTGGTACTGATGCTAGGCTGGTTGAGTGACGACAGCAATATGGCTTCAAGTTGCGTCCTGCAAGCTGTCACGTGATCGTTATTTTCCATTTATCAGTCTGCTGTGCTCGTCATACGAACAAACAGTTCATGTGCCTTAGAAAACGTTCCGATTTACGTGTGACTGCATGTCAGATGAAGCTCAGTGCGTCACTGAAATGGTAACTTTTCGGCATATGTCTTAGCTTCTTGTGGATTTATAATCGATACATATAGAAGTAAATTTCAGTTCCAGATTTCGTGTACGAGTATTATGACAGGTCATTCCTGGAACAAGAGATAGAATTCGCGGAATAACTTTATTTACTTATACATATTAGGCTCTGTGGCCTCTTTCAATTGAGGGTTAACTATGGTACAGCGAATTATTTATGTACAGAAATTCGACAGGATGCCATTGGCTTCTGTTGCTTTGTGACAGGCGCAACAGACAAAACAAAAGATATTCGGTCCAGTTATCATGTTTTCATCTCTGCTTATGCTGCATGTTGTACTTTTAATATCTGTAAGCCAAGATAGCGAAGTCACATAGCGACTGGCTATGAGCCGGACGATTGAGGGGTCGGTGTTCGAGTCCCCTTAGGGCCAAGAATTTTCTAATCTCTATAACGTCCTGACCGCTCTGGTCCACACCCAATCTCCTATCCAATGAGTACAGGAGGGGTTTTCCCCGGGGATAAAGTGGCCGGGGTGTGAAGCTGCCCACTCACCTGCAGCTAGTACCGAGGTCAAAAAAATATGGATCTATACATTCACTCCCCCTTACGCCATCATGTGGTAGTGCTTAATTAGTTAAGCACAGGAACAAATTTAACTATATCCATTGACTTTTATTATTTTAGTATACAGTTTTATGTAAATTCAAGACTGATCCATCTTGGAACATTGAATATTCGTACGTATCAAACACCTTTACAGTTCTGTGCACTTATGCATATACCCACCAGATGACATCCTTCTAATGGGTCGAAATATATACTGCTGATTACAACAATAATATCTAGTTTATAAAATAGCATATTACTTTTCATTTAATTAATACTCACAATTAGGATCCTTTATTTCTGTGACAAATTACGCTCTCAGGCCTGCTCCCGTTTCAAAATAAAGCTGAAAACTACGATTCTTATAGACCTTTGGTAGGTCTATTTGGACGGAGGATCAGTTCGTCGCGAGGTCGCTATGTACACACAACACAAAATCGCAAAAATCCCAGACATGCATAATACGGGTGGCATTCGAACCCATGATCCCAGTGTTTGAGCGGGCGAAGACATGTCGAGCCTTTTATCGGCCACGGTGATCAGCCAAAGAGGATGCAAGTTTGCGGAAAGGAAGCAAGAAAAGAGGAGCGGAGCAATCTTCTCCATCCATGGACCTCCTTTCTCGGCCTTTTATATTATTGTTATAGCAGTCAAATAAAGGAGGTTTACATGTACTATTTTTTAATTGCTAGTGGGGTGGAACTAAGTCCCTTGTACTGCGGCCACTTGTGGCCTATTGTACCAGCCCCAGATGATAGGTGAGGGTGATGGTGGAGCAATTGGTGGAATGAAGATTGGCAGGGGAAAGCGAAGTACTCGGAGAAGACCTGCCCCAGTGCCACTTTGTTCACCACAAATCCCACTTGACCAGACCCGGGATCGAACCCGGGCCGCCGCGGTGGGAAGCCAGCGACTAACAGCTTGAGCTATGGCGCGGCCTTTTACATCTACTAAGACAGAAGTTTTCGAGAGCCAAGCGATGCAAGTGCAGTATATACTCGTATTAACATTGGTGAACTGATAAAACACAGAACAAAGTATTAATGGAATTATTTCATTACAGGTCTGTTTCACACTAACACATGAGTGCTGATGGATTAAGATTTATTAAATTATAGACAGAAATTACTTTATTTGTAGAAATATCAAATGATGAAACGGGAACAGAAAGTGCAAGAAGACGTATGTGGGAGTGGATGTATAGATCCATATTTTCTTGACCTCGGCACTAGTTAGAGGTGAATGATCAGCTTCACGCCCCGTCCGCTTTACCACCGGGGGAAACGCCCCCGATACTCATTGAATAGGAGGTTGGGTGGGCCACAAATCAGGTCTGGACGACGTGAAGAAGAAAAATTATTACCCCTACCGGGACTCGAACTCCGACCCCTCGGCCGTCCAGTCCTTAGCCAGTCGCTATACCGACTCCGCTATCCCGGTTCCCACAACAGGAAGGGTAACGGAATAAAATAAGCCTGGAACAAGAGACGGCGGAAGGTAAGGGATAAGTCTGTTTGAGGTATAAACAGTTTTTTAGCATACAGTTGAAAATGTTAAATTTGTAGCCTTCAGGATTATCATAAGGGACAATTTTCCAGATGCAGCCAACGTTTCGAAGGAACCTGCTGTCTCCATTTTCAGGGTAGAAATAATCTTGAAGACAGACGCTGCAGGTTTTCATTTTTAATGCTAGTGGAGTGGGACTAAGTCCCTTGTACTGCGGCCACTTCTGGCCTATTGTACCAGCCCCAGATGATAGGTGAGGGTGATTGTGGAGCAATTGGTGGAATGAAGTTTGGCAGGGGAAACCGAAGTACTCAGAGAAAATCTGCCCCAGTGCCACTTTGTTCACCACAAATCCCACTTGACCAGACCCGGGATCGAACCCGGGCCGCCGCGGTGGGAAGCCAGCGACTAACCGCTTGAGCTATGGCGCGGCCTGACGCTCCAAAATGTTAGTAACCAGAGAAAACTGAAGATGTCATAATAATGAAGATCACGTATTAATTTTTACGTCCATGAATATCCCAGATCTCAAATTGAAAACGTTACTTTTCACAGGATGGATGCAGTGAGTGATGGGTCGGACCCCTCCTCCTATTACCTGGCCCTGTACGGCCTTATTTCCTTCTTGCTCGTCATGCTGATCGTCATGCTCCTGTATGTGGCCTGCTCCAAGAAGTACAGGCTTAACTGGTTCGAGAAGAACCTCCTGGAAACCGCAGAGACCACGGAGATGAGACACAGGTATGAAATGCCGTTACACGGACAAATAAAGTAGAACGTAAGACTGAGGATTTGATTTGTCTCATTTTGGTCCGTCACACTACTAATTACAGAGTGGATAATTTTCAGTCCAGTGTGACATACAAGTTTACAACACTTCAAAACAGTACAAACGACATATCACGCACGTAAACTACACGACTAATAATAAGATCATAAAATCAAGAGAAATAAACGACATCTCCCAATATCAGGAGGAAAACAACATGACCCAATGTCGGCTCACGATATTTTAACATAATAACTAATTTTTTACATGCAAAAGAAAATTTTAATACAATTTTAAATACATTGGGAGGCTAATGTATGAAAAAGTGAATATCATATTGCGTGCAGTGGAAAACCCAAGTCAGAATACCCTGCAAATACGCTTAAAAGAAACAGCGTCATACGTAAATCTACACTTCAAGAAGCGTCATTGTGAATGCCTGGGACAAACACCAAAACTAACCGTGATAACAACAAAATTGATATAGTGAGCATTAGTCATAGCTTAAGTGCATATTGTTAAAACATCTTATGTGACAGTGTTTCCTGATCATAGTGGTGCGCCTCTGAAGATGATTCTTTGAATCGAAACATGTAAGGTGAAAAAGACTGAAGCGTTGTAAACTTGTATGTCACACTGGACTGAAAATTATCCACTCTGTAAGACTGGGGATTTATTTCTTCTTGAATATAACGCCGTGTATTCCGTTGAAACTGAACTGACGTTTCGTGGTAACGTATTACTTCCCACTTCAGGGTTGAAATGTAAGCCAAGCAAGACCAATACGATGAAAAGAGTAAACAAAGATACTTTGCTCAGAAACGTCTGTTGAATCAAAGTACTACACGACGTTGTGTTCCGGAAGTTGTATAATTATTCATAACTGCCGCTGTGAGAACTTCGAATCCTACTTACGTGTAAGACTGTGGACTTCAGGATGTGATAGACAGGTACAAAAGTTTCGAAGAACCTGCTTCGTCCATCTTCAGGGTAGAAGAGTGAGTCAAGTGGAGAAATGGATTGCAAAAAAAAAGACAGGGTCATGAACGGGGTTGAACCAGTGGGGATAGATGGCCTAAAATTAGTACTTTTGGAAGAAAGAAGCAACAGGTTCCTTCGAAGAGCAGGTACCTATATACCAGACTACACGGTGTCACATCCCGAAAGAATGAAGACATAATATTCCCTGCTTTTATAACTTCATGATGTATGCCGTGCTGGCAAGGGTGATGACCTCACCTATGCCACCACCTGCTACGCAGGCCTGATGTGAGCAAGTCTCACCCTTACCGTGCCCTTATTTTAGGAGCCGAGCTATCCCTTTACATATAACTGCTGTTCTGCTATCGCCACTTGGTGAGGGTTCCTGTCTGGAATCTACCCTTAAAAGGCACCGCTTCCAGGACAAAATATACAGGGGTACACTACTCAACTTCCATCTTCAGAATGCGAGAGATTTCAATTCGGGTCGGTACTCACAAACGTAATGGCAAGAACGAGTGTCAGTAAATAGGTCACAAATGGATATAAAGCGTAAAACATGTAATATTTGAACCTGAAAAAGGTATTTATTTCTCGACATATCCTCCACCAACATTGATACACTTGTCCCATCGCTTTACCAATGTATCGAAACCCGCAGCATAGAGGTCTCAGCCACTTCCTCAGCTCACATCAGCGAAACACTGGAGAGCTTTACGCGACAAACACTTCCTATCACAAATATGAAACGTATGTTTACGAAAATCCTTTGCATTGAGTCTTTTTTCAAAAGAAAAACTTACAACACAACTATGGTCTTCGGTAGTATACCCCTCAAGCACCGTCGCCATTTTGACCACTGAAACGAGCCTCTGAACATATACATGCGCGTCTGCTAGCTAGACTGTAATGAAACTATACTGTGCTGCTACTTAGTGATACACATAGAGAACCAATTACTTCCGTTACAGCTGTTTTACTTCCATTCTTGGCCTATTTTCTGTCTCTCTTTCTCTTGTACCTGAACCCTTGGGAATGTGATAAATACACCGTAACTAACCACTAACTGTTCGCTAATAAAGATACATAATTCTCGGTTAGCCTCTTCTATTGCCTGCTGGTCGAGTTATGCCCCCAGTGAAATATTGCCTAGCTGTTACCATCGAAACTGCCCTTGTTACACTGATTAACACAATATGCAGTAGCTCACACTTCTCCACTTACCGCGGCAGGGCAGAGGTCAGAGGCAGACCAGCAGGAATATCCTGACGGCTTCCATGGCTCGTGAAAACCAATCTCGTCCGCTCCAGGGCAGGCCTGTTCTCTTTACAGAACTACGAAACGGACCTTCGTTCGTAGAAATAATACCCCGAGCCTCGCAGAATAACCCCGAACCTCATCAAAGTATTAAACTGTTAACAGCCTGACAGTTTTCCTCGTTGCTGACAAGTTACGGCATTACAACATAAAACAGACGTCTTGTTTTAATGACACTGGCATAATTGTATGTCTCTCCGGCGTCTCCAGCCGAAAATCAAATTAGTTTACACCTTAGTCACCAGATTGACATTCTGACATTCCAGAAACATTTTCATAATATTTTAATTAATTTTATATAGGAACTTTGAGAAGGCAGATTGCAAAATGGATGACACTGAAACGTGGTGTTTTAACTTAAGGAACAACAGACAACCAAACTCCGTGGTCTGTAGTCCGGAAGCGAACTATACCGACCGAGCGACCGCCGCTTGTCGGCGAAGTTAATGACAACTTTTGCGGATAGAGGGTGTCGCGTGGTCAGCCCAACGGATCTCCACGGCCGTTAATCTCGGATTTCCAGACGGGAGCCGCTATTTTTCCATTCAAGTAACTCCTCAATTATCACCGTGAGGCTGAGTGGACCCCGTTCCATACCCACTACTTCTCAGAAAATCCGGTAGGGCTGGGAATCGAACCCGGAACCTCTGGATCAGTAACCAGGAACTCTGACCACTGGACCACAGAGGCGGTCTACTTTAAGAACATTATTCAGAATAATAAGCTCTTCGATTGGAAACCTTTTTTTATTTTCTTGTTGTATCTAAAAACCGAAAAAAAAAAGGAACTGCGAAGCTCTCTGTTGTACGAATGTTACATAGACATTAAACTTATTCTTTCGCTCCAGAGGAAGACTGAGAATGTTTGAAAACAAGTAGCTGAGAAAAATATTTAGATTTAAAGGAAATAACAAAAAAAGAAATGGAGAAATCTACATAATGAAAAGCTTCATAATTTATAATCTTCTCCAGATAATAGGAGATTAAGTCAGGAAGAATTATAATTTATTTTTAATGTTAGTGGGAAACTCTACAGAGAAGAGGCAGTTTCGGAAACAGAAGCAAAGTTTGGAGGATAATATTAAATTAATCAGAAAAAATAGGTGTGAATATATAAATTGAATTCGACTGACTATGACTAATATAGCAATACATTTTATAATTTAATTAGTAATATGTAAGATTTGAGATTTTCATAGTTAGTAATAGATATTGGCTTATTATAAAGCTTATTTCATAAAGCGTACTATTAATAGACCTAAGGGAACTTCTGTAGAGTTTCACTGCGGATATTGCATCTTACGTGACTCTTTAAAAAACCTGCATGTTGTTACATTTTCATAATCCCTTTCTTCGTGTTCTGTTCATCGAATAAGGGTTTCGAGTAATCGGTTTATCCCTTTGACATTTAAATTCCTTCACGTGTGCCTACAGTATTTTCACCGTCACTGATAAATTGCTCACTTCCGCCTTAAGAGTTCGCTGTTGAAAACAGATCGGCTTCCTTTCTCAAAGGGGGCAAATCTTTTAGACGTAAAAATGACATGCCAACTTTGAGTGATTATATCGTCCGTCAATATTAAAAGAAAAAACGCCTACAAAATAATTTCGAACTTTAAGATGAGGATGTGAGAAGAGAACGCCCTGAAATATTTGTTTAGGTTACTGGCCAAATAAAAGTTTCGAAGAAGATGCAGAGGATGACAGTGAAAACAAAACAAACTCCGTGGCCTGTAGTCCGCAAGCGAACTATACCGACCGAGCAACCGTTGCTGCTCGGCGAAGTTAGTGCCAACTTCAGCGGATAGAGAGTGTCGCGTGGTCAACGCAACGGATCCCCACGGTCGTTAATCTCGGTTTTCTAGACCGGAGCCGATATTTCCATGAAATAGCCTCTCAGTTATCTTCACGAGGCTGAGTGGATCCCGTTCCAGACCCTCTACTTCTCAGAAAAACTGGTAGTCCCGGGAATCGAACCCGGGACCTCTGGATCTGTAGGTAGGAACTCTGACCACTAGACCACAGAGGCGGTCTGAACGTCGGATATGGTTTTCAAAATGATGAATGTACTGTTACAGAGGAACACATTGCGCCTGCGCGCGCAAATTCAGGTACCCGTGCAACTATAAATTAACGTAATCCATGACGCTGAAGAACAACAACTCGCGACCTTCGGAACTGATATTCACTCTATCAGTCAAGAAATGTCCTAACTTTTACGACAGTGAGGGGTTTATAATCTTGCTTGAATGAGGTTACCATTTACCCATTTGAATTAAATCATTTTCCCTCAAGTCATGTTTCTTTAAGATTTTAATATTTCCATCCTATCTACACCTAGGTCTACCAAGCTGACTTCTTTTTTCATGTTGCTGGACTGAAACTTTAGATACATTTCTTCTTTTTCCTTTTTTTTCTTCTCCCCTTCCCCGTCTTTCTTCTAACGTATGCATGCTGCATGTCTCTCCAATCTTTTTCTACTTGATAACATGTGCGGAAACTTCAGTCACGGCATTCAAAATGGTATAGAACTACTTTTATTCTTCTTCTTGTGTGATTAACAAATCTTTCGGATTCCGCAACAGAGGCACAGTTTTGCATGCGTCTGATATGGGCCTCATGACATCGGCTCATGATTAGGTATGACAGCATAACAATGTTAGGGTCAGCGCCTT